TCCCCGTCTGCACAAGCTGGTTCCGTTTCCCGACAATAGTAGCACTTCCCATAGAAACAAGTGTTATTACCTTAAAAAAAAAATATTAATAATTATAATAAAATAATAAACTTTAATAATAAACTTGGATTAATAACTTAATCCAAGGGATGCCAACTGAAATTTGGGAGCGTATTGTTGCAGCAGAGCCTTCCTTGCAATAAGATTTCACCGCACTTGATCTCATGCTTCCTATCTCTGAGATGGAGAAGCTCAAAAGAGGTTAAACAGACGTCTGCTCATTCGAAGCAACATTAAAGCCTAATATTCAAAGGAGAGAGGAACTATATTTTCTAATGTTTTTATCACACAGAGTTAATACAACACTGCACTATCAACCATTTTTGTGATCCCTGCCTAGTCCTCAGGACTTTGCAACCTTAGCGCTCCTTGCTCTGTAAATTTCACACTTTGGCTGTCAGATTTCCCGCTTTTTTGAAAGAGTTGACCAAAAAGAGACAAGTGAAAAAAGACTAAGCAGAATTCAAATGGGTTTGGAGCCCTGAGACCTGCCACACATCTCAGCTACTTGAGCTGACTCAGCAGGGGAAACACGAACGAGCTGTCATTCTTATATGACCTAGGAACATAGATCTGCCACAAGTTTCAAGCATGTCTTCTGACAGGAGATGAACAATGAAACTCTGAAGTCTTCAGTCTGTTGAGGTCTATGTAGCCTGTAGCATATAGTAATCTACGTAGCTTAGATTAACATTTTTGGCTTAACCTTTTATATTTCTAAGTTTCTTCTAAACTCCTTTGCTTGACTCTTGCCAAGTCAATTCCAGTTCCATATTCACAGATGTTCTTCCAAAATATTCTTCAACTTTGTCTCACTTCCTTGTGATTCCACTTATTCCCTGTCCTTTCTTCCTTTGGCCCCACATGCAGCACCCTCCCCAAATTTGGCTCAGCTCACTGATAGACGTGTTTTTCACTTTCCATGCTTACACCATGGGTTCAAATCCCACATCACAACTCCATAGCCAGCCAGTACTTCTTTGCAGTCCTCCATCCAGACCTGGCTCTTCACAGAGATGATCATTAAGAAGACAGAGCCTGCAGCAGACTAGATCTCTTATTCATATGGAAAGCCCTGCAAGTCTCTCTTCCTATCCATGGCCTGCAACAGGTCTAGCAAGAGACAGAATTCTTTGAGATTCTGGCTGCAACTCCAGCGAATCTGCACTGAGTATACATGAATTATCTTTTCTTCAAAACCTCAGAAACTTGGTCAAAATTTGGGTTGACAAGAGATCACACTCTTCTCCCTAGATCCACTCATTTCTTTGGTTCATGCTCTGCAGAACAGACAGTTCCAAGGAACCTAAGGAAAGGCAAAGAAAATTTTCTGGAGCCATACTTTTCAAGTCAGCATTTCTGCTAGAAAACTGCTTAGTTACCTTGGTTGAAATTAGAAAAAGTAAAGTCTGCCTGAGGCAGACACTCGATCCGAATGCAAAAAGAGTTTGGCAAAGCAGAGCTACTCTCATCTGAAAGTTATACCATATAACTGAAAGTGTTAAGTGAATTTAGTAGGTGAGACTACCGAAAGTGGCTGTAATAAAAACACACACAGGCACACATATTTATCAGCTGTAATGAGCAATCACCTCTAGAGTCTTCCTATTAAAAAAAAAAAAAGAGTAATAAGTGGATATTTTATGAAAAGTCTGAAGAGTTAAGGCTTCAGCATAAGTCACTTCTTGGTGCTTAATGACCAGTTGGTAGCAGTTCACATTAATAATTCCCATTAAGTGCCCTTCACAGCATTATTACTGTAAACAACACATGGACGTTCTGACACGTTTAGTTATGAATGCTCAGCAGGCTCTGATGTAGCACAAACAACATCTAACACCAACTGATGCACCGGCTCTATAAATTATCTCAAATCGCCACCACGTTCACGTTAAATACAATTCCATTCTTTTTCCTTTCAGGTTTAATCATAGACTTTTCTAAACATCTCTGACAGCAGAGAGAAAATTCTTACTCAAAAAAATCCCATCCGTAACAGCAGCATGAGGAGAAGTTGCAGAGGGAAAACTGCTCGGAGAAAATAAAGTCCTCTGCCCCCACCAAATAGGGTTATACAAGCATCACCATCTCCCTTGGCACAGAGACTTACCAGTTTCCTGTATCACAGTTAACTGTTCTATAACTGTGTCAGATTCCCATGGCTCTTTTTCCTCACTAAACACATTTTTTCTTTACTGGGTTGCACAATCCATGGAATCCACTTACCCACAGTCATGAAGGTACCCAGAAGCTGCTCTGTGGCTACTGGTTTGATCTCTGTACGTAGATTCACAAACCTGCCAACCACCAGTGGAGCTCGTCGGAAACCCAGAATTCTGATTTGGGGTGAAAAAAACATGACATGAGAATTTACAACATAGGCAGCAGTTCTGAATTAGACCAAAACCAAACCACAGTCTCTGTGCCATTTTCTGCAATTGAGATGACTGAGAGTAAAGAACAAAGTTGGAACCCTGCAGCAACCTTCTCTCTTCTCCAAGGCAAAGTAAGGAAACTCATTTTTCTTAAGTGCCTGGATGTTAAACTGGCTTTATAGGCCATCAGTGACACTCCTTTATTAGAACATTTGCAGCAGAGCAACACAGGATGCACCATGCTCCAACTCTCAGAAATCAGACCTCGTACCAGCAATATCCATCTGTACAGGCTGAAGCAGTAATCATATGGTCTTCGGGCTGGTCACCTGGAAAGATCATTTATAATTTGTGGGAATTACTATCTATTAAAATGTTATGTTCAAGCTCAATTCAATTATACTTGAAAGTAAACAATCTAGGAGTTATTTTGTTTGGCACGAGGAGGGAAAAGGGAAGAGAGATTGGTAGAACAGAACCGAATGCCTGAAGTGTCTGGAAAAAAAGAGAGCTGGGGAGACTAATCATAAAACTTGCAGTCCCAAGATCCAGGTTCCACTCCCATGTCCGCTACAGCCTTTGCTGTGTGTCCACAAACGACTTGGATATTTGTAATGGAATTTTAAAAGTTCTTAAAGGAGGAGTACGAACATCAGTACAGTGTCAGCCCCAACTCTCTTGACGTACTTCGTGTCTCAGAAAAAGAGACTGAAAAGGGACTGTTCCTTCTGAAAAAGGGACAATCTACACTCCACAGAGATACTGGGAGAGTCACTCTAACAGCTGTAGCTTTTTAGATTTTCAACGAGCAAGTTCCCATCCACAAGTATCAAATACCTCTAGGAGAGGGCAACACAAAATCATGTATGCGTAAAACCAAAATTCATAGCCCATACAGACAGTTATGTACAGCTTGAGAAAAACACAGGTATTTCAAGAAAATAAGTGCAAAACTTCAATCTGCAAAACCTGTCCCTTTATTTTCAGACCCACAGCTGACAGGCCAGGACCTGGAGAGCACAGCCTCCCCATTAGTGGTAAACATCCACTATGATTCAGATCCTTCTTGAAACAATGGCATCCTCGGACAAAATACGTAACTGCCACCACTCAGAACAACGGTACATGCTGAAGTCACACAGGCAGGTGGCTCCTGCTAGGTGTTCTTGAAGAATATAGAGGTGCATATTCACAAAAAAGAGCAGGAAGGCCAGAAGAAACAAGCACAACACCACAACCACAGGAACAGCAAGGAAGAGCTAAGAACGAGGGGTTTGGACTCTGCAAAGAAGCTTTGAATTCTGGCTATGCAATGTTTGATTGCTGCTTTTTTGGGGAAACTGAAGTCTGAATGTTTCTTGAAAGCATAAATGGACAACAGACACCTGGCTACACCATCTTTTTTTCGGTCTTAAAGTCTTTGGTCTTACCCTGATTTTGGCCCACCACCTCAACAGCAGCAGCAGCAACGGGTATCACACAACTAGTTATCACCAAACCTTCCTAGAATTCCCGATTTCCATTGCCTGTGCACTGAGCTCCACAGATGAATTAGGACTAACAAGCACATCTTTTACAACCTACGAATTCAGTCACAGTGACGAGCCTCTTATTTATGTCCTGAGAAAACTCAGTTTAAGTTCAATCATTCTGTTCTTTATTATATTTGTCCCTCCTTATTCCCTTTCCCAAGATTTTAAGGCTCTTCATGTAAGAATTTTTCATATCTTTAATTATCTTCAGAAATCTTCTCCAAAGTGCCAGCACAGACCTCTTATAATGAGGAGACCAAGACTGCACCCATTTATCCCAGATGAAACTGCACCTCTAACAGTATTTTGTAACTATTGACATTCAGTGTTTGGTATTTTCTGTCCCACTCTATGTACATCCTGTAACTTTGTTTTTCTTCTGGTAATTACATCTCCAGCTCAGGTCCACGAAACCACCTGGTACCCCTAAATACAATTAACACGTTTTTCCTCTAGGATGCACTGATTCATATTTAGTCTAGACTAAATTGTTAGTCTAGACATTAGACTTAACTTTTTAGTGTACTGGTCATTAACTTAGCACATACCTTCGGCATTTCAGACTCTTCCACAGGATTCCACATGGCAGGGGGGTTGGAACTAAACGATCTTTAAGGTCCCTTCCAACCCTAACCATTCTATGATTCTATAATTTGGCTAAGCTCTCTCTTCCATATATGGAGTATCAGTGGTTTCAGTGCTCATTCTCAAGTTTTTCACAAAAATCTTAAATGTTAGACTCTTGCATAGATCTTTCAAATGAAGTTTCACAAAAAGTTAATTTTTATTTTTGGCTTCAATGTGGTATATTGGCAGGTTACAAACAGTGCACCTCTGAGGCGCATTCTTCAAGGAACTCCTTTCTCCTCAACTCTGAAAAAGCATTTACCAGAGACAATAAAACCAGGTAACCCAATAGTTCCATACCTATCCAAGTGAAAGGCTGCCACTTCTGCGTTGTGTCTGTCGTAGCCAGCATACGGTTCTCCTTCCACTACATAATCCCTGGCATATCTGTAATTGAAACAAGTCAAATAAAGTGATTAATGTGAGATTTCCATTAGCTTTCCTGTTTGGAGTAACAAGTGCCATAACAGTGGCACTTTAACAGTTAAATCGACTCTGGGTCACTTTCAAAATGATTGCCAAGGGGAGAGGGAACAAACATTAATGAGATTAAATAGAGCACAGCCTGTTGAAGTAGTAAATAAGGAGGAAAGGTCAGTGATGTACAGTGGTCTCAAGAGCTTGGGAAGCGGTGCCCATTCCAACTAATGAGTTTTCATTCAACCATATGCCAAGTCACATCTAAGAACAAAGAGTACTACAACAGGAGACTATTTATACTGGAAAGCAGCAACTCCACAAACGATTTTGGGGTTAGAATGGGTTGTAGATTAACATGAAAATACATTCTGATATTGTAGAAGAAATGCCAAATGCATCAGTAGAAGATCAGTAAGCATGAATCTGAGGACAATACTGGATATAAAAAGACCCTTTATTCTGGTGGAGAAAAGACATAATGAACAGCAAGCAGTAGAAATTAGACACTCATTACAACAGCAATGGTATGTTTTGGTGAAGTGGAGGGCTTTTTTTTCTTTTTTTGTTTTCTTTTCTAATAGATGTTACTTAAACAGTCAAGGCAAACACAAATTTCCAAGATTCATGACATTTGAATCAGGTCGAGATACTACTTAAGAAGCATACTTCAGATGAGCATAAAATACCACAATCAATACCGAGCAAATGAGTGAAACACAATACATGTTCAAACAAAGTAAGGCCAAACTAGGTTACCTATTTTCTCATTTCCATCTGTGTATCAAATTGTGTAAACTGGATTATTTCCAGCAGACTCGGGGTTCAAGCAGTAGCAGCAACAGTGTAAGGGAAGCCACACTGCTCTGCTTTGATGTTTTAACCCTGCCCAGAGAAGATCTCTTGGGCAAGATGACAGCCCATTTCATCAGTCTCAGCAAAGACTTCAGCTTCTCTGCAAGGCAGCTCAAAAGAGAATTAACCAGCGCAGGATGGCATGGAGCTTTCGGAAGGAGGACCTGACAGATTGCTGCCAAACTGGAACTTAGACCAAACAAGCGTCTTATTTCACACATACCACTGGCATGTGATGGTGGCAACTCTTAATCATTAGTAACTTACCCTGGATTTCAATTATTTTTGAAATGAGACAGCTAACCCGCAGAACACATCCTTGAAATCAGGACTTTTGTACGTACTTAGAGCAGGCTCTTGAAAACATGGTCACTTTTTGAAAGCTGCAGAGCTAAAATTTATTGGTGAAACACAACCAACTTCTTGCTTCCACGCACTGTAGGCATCTAGTCCTGTCTAGAGCAAAGGTGGCAAATGAAGAGACTTCATTCTTCCTCAGACAGGAAGTTTTCTCAAAAAGGTTTCAGTAGTAACTTTGACGTACCTTTCAGGACAAAACCTTGGTAAAGGGACCACCCTAGCAATGACAGAACAAGACTCCACCTACCAGCCTAGCTATTCAGCAGCCACAAACAGAACACGAGGGCTAGCACCATGCTGCCTAGCGCTCCTATACATTCCCTGCTGCATACGTCCTTGACGGAGCTCACTTGCCGTGTTTGCCTGCACAGACGTTCCGTTACGGGACTGTAATTTAATGCTCGGTGAAACGCTTCACAAAATTCACTTATACTGAAGGCACTACAGGAACACCCTAAATTGTTACTGCACTTATTGGACAAGCTGTCTGTCGAACCACCAAGACTTCTGTGTGGAGGGTTCACGCTGTTTAAACACAGCCTAGCCCCACAGCGAAGCTCAAGCCAGACCACTAATTGACCGTACAGAAACAGGACTGTGAATTCAAGGGGTGGAAGGCAGATTATTTTTTTCCCCATTCTCTAATCATTCATAAACATGACAGAAAAACCTCGTGCTTGCTCGACCCAATATCCTTTGGAGAAAGATGTACTCATTCTGCGATGGCCACACTTTGCATTTGCCGTGCGCTCCCATAAAACACACCTGCTTTACTTTTTTACATCTTTCTTTCTTCTCCTTTTCCCCGAAGGCAAACAGTTCAAAAAGACTCTTCATAAATGTTCAATCATGTCAAATTTCCCTGCGGATAATCACAAACAGAGGCCATACCAAGGAAGTAGCATTACCCACCCATTCTTACATCGCTCCTCCAGTATTCGCTACCGGCAGACGGGACACTCGGGGCTCTCACTCTGACCTACCAAGCCAGTTTCACAGTCTTCACGCAGCTACACCAGACACTCAGATCTACTTTTAAGACCACAGTCAACTTTCACTCCTTCCCCATTCTTGACATGCATTCTCTCCTGGCACTTTGACACAATCCTTCCTCAGAAAGACTAGGCAAGACTTGCCTCCACATTGCCAGAACCTGCACCTCCAAAATCCAGAAGATACTGCTTAGAAACATCAGGTTTAAACACCATTCCCTCGGGACCAAACACAGTGATTATTCTTTTAACCTAAAGACAGGCTGTTTCGAGCACCAAAGCTACACAGCCTGAGAGACAGTTGGCACAGCAACCTAATGTTACTAGAGCACCAGCAAGGCTCTACACCGTCTGTCTCACAAATAATAGAATGGCCTTTCCATTTACGTGTAAATTTGTAACTTAAACATTAATAGAACAATATGGAGATAATATATATATATACACACACATACATAAAGCAGTTATTAATTCAGTCACCAAAGGCAGTATTTACCTCTTGGGTTTGAAGACAACTTTCTGTCCTCCTTCAAGTATTAGCAAAGCTTTCAGCTGGGTCCCTTTGTATCCCACATCAGCTTTTATTATTTTCTTTGTTGTCATGGCATGCATAACAGCCCCTAGCTCGGGCGTCTCCTCAGGATACACCTCCCGGGGCACCACCCATTGGGCAGCAATCTCCCAAGGGGACTGCAACGTGTGGTCAAGTCGGGGGTCCAGTTCCACACGGAGGCTGGCCATCATACGGTGAAAGGCGCGCTGGTCCTCCCGGTTGGCAGCTGAGGTGTCCAAGTTGTCAATGAGGAAAACTTTTGTGAAAATGAAGATGACAAGGAGGATGGCCAACAGCACAACTCGCTGCTTTAGCTTCATGGTGACCTTCAACCCTTCTCCCCTGACCCTTTCTTCCAAGCGTTACAGGAAGTCTATCAGAGATCAGGGTGAGGAAGGGGATGGTGGTTAATGAATTTCATTCATAACTTGCATTGTGAAAGAGGTATCACCACTGAAGCATCTTCTGGTACCCCTAAAAATAAACAAACCACAAATTTACAAAACTGCA